TTCTCTAAGATTAGTACTATACAGCCTCGGTGTGTAGTAGGATATACCATCTACGTTTGTATAAGTACACTTATATGTTTGCACAACAACGAAACTGCCTAAGGACACATCTCTCAGAACATATTCCCATCATTAAGCGATGCACGACTGTACTATATTAGGTGTATAATAGCGTTATAGCTAAAGAAACAATGTACACGCCTTAATTAACAAATACTTTATTGCTAAAAAATGCTAACCATCCTCTGAGCCTTCATCTGAGTCGTAATCTTTTTCCTGGTGGAGGGTCTTGCCACAATGTTGATGGCTGCTGACTGATCAGGGCAGTGGTTGCTGAAAGATGGGTGGCTGCAGCATTTTCTTAAAATAAGACAAAACTGAAGTTTGCCTCATTGATTTTCTTTCAAGAAGGATTTCTCTGTAGCATGCAATGCTGTTTGATAGCATTTTACCCGCAGAACTTCTTTCAAAATTGGAGTCAATCCTCTTAAATCCTGCCACTGCTTTATCAACTAAGATCATGTAATATTCTAAATCTTTTGTTATTTCAATGATCTTCATAGCATCTTCACCAGAAACAGGTTCCATCTTAAGAAACAACTTTCTTTGCTCCTCCATAAGAAGCAACTCATCATCTTTTCAAGTTTTATCATGAGATTGCAGCAATTCAGTCAGATCTTCAGGCTCCACTTCTAATTCTAGGTGTTTTGCTATTTCCACAATATCTAGTTACTTCCTCCACTGAAGTCTTGAACCTCTCAAAGTCATCCATGACGGTTGGAATCAACTTCTTCCAAACTGCTGTTAAGGCTGATATTTTGACCTCTTCCCATGAATCACAAACATCTTAATGGCATCTAGAATAGTGAATCCCTTCCAAAAGATTTTCAATTTACTTTGCCCAGATCCATCAGAGGAATCACTATCTATGGCAGCTATACCCTTATGAGATGTATCAAATAATAAGACTTGCAAGTTGAAATTACTCCTTGATCCATGGGCTGAAGAATGGACGTTGTGTTAACAGGCATGAAAACAACATTAATCTCTTGTACATCTCCATCAGAGCCCTTGGATGACCAGGTGCATTGTCAATGAGCAGTAATATTTTGAAAGAAATCATTTTTCCTGAGCAGCAGGTCTCAATAGTGGGCTTAAAAGATTCAGTAGGGGTCAGCTCAGATCCCAGGTGTGGACCTATACATATTGCTTATCAAGCCACGCTGAGGCAGGCGTCCCACATACAAAATCAAAGAAGGGCACAGATGGTAGCTCAGGGCCAATCTTCCTCAGCAAAAAGGAGGATTGGCAGCAAATGTTAGCTCAGGGCTAATCTTCCTCAAAAAGGAAAAAAAATATTCAGTAAACCATGTAGGAAATAGATGTGCTGTCACCCAGGCTTTGCTGTTCCATTTACATAGCACAGGTAGGGTAGATTTAGCATAATTCTTAAGGGCTCTGGGATTTGGAGAATGATAAATGAGCAGTGCCTTCAACTTAAAGTCACCAGCTGCACTGGCCCCTAACAAGAGAGTCAGCCTGTCCTTTGAAGCCAGGCACTGACTTCTCCTCTCTAGCTATGAAAGTCCTACATGGCATCTTCTTCCGATATACGGATGTTTCATCTATGCTGAAACTCTGCTGTTTAGTGTAGCCGCCTTCAGTAGTGATCTTAGCTAGATCTTCTGGAGAACTTGCTGCAGCGTCTACATCAGCACCTGCTGCTTCACCTTGCACTGCTATGTTATGGAGACGCTTCTTTCCTTAAACCTCATGAACCAACCTCTGCTGGCTTCAAACTTTTCTTCTGCAGCTTCCTTACCTCCCTCAGCCTTCAGAGAACAGAAGAGAGTGGGCCTTGCTCTGGATTAGGCTTTGGCTGAAGGGAATGTTGTGGCTGGTTTGATCTTCTATACAGACCACGAAAACCTTCTCCATATCAGCAATAAGGCTGCTTTACTTTCTTAGCATTCATGTGTTCACTGGAATAACACTTTTAATTTCCTTCAAGAACTTTTCCTTTGCATTCACAACTTGGTTAACTGCTTGCTGCAAGAGGCCTAGCTTTTGGTCTATCTCAGCTTCAACCTGCCTTCCTCATTAACCTTAATCATTTCTGGGTTTTGATTTAAAGGGAGAGACACAAATTTCCTTTTCACTTCAACACTTAGAGGCCACTGTAGGGTTATTAACTGGCCTAATTTCAATATTGTCGTGTCTCAGGGAATATGCAGGCAAGAGGAGAAGCAGAGAGGGGGAGAAACGGCCCGTCGGTGGAAAAGTCAGAACACACACAACATTTATCAATTAAGTTTGGCACCTTATATGGGTGCAGTTCATTGTGCCCCAAAACAATTACAATAGTAATGTGAAAAATCACTCATCACAGACCACCATAACAAATAAAGTAATAATGAAAAAGTTTGAAATATGGCAAGAATTACCAAAATGTGACACAGAAACATGAAGTGAGCAAATGCTGTTAAAAAAATGGCACCAACAGACTTGTGGCAGGATTGCCACAAACCTTCAAGTTGTAAAAAACGCAGTATCTGCAAAGTGCAATAAAGCAAAGCACAATAAAATGAGGTATTCCTGTAAACACACAAAAAGCAATAAAATAAAAGCTCATGGGAAATAACTCCAAAATTACTCCGCTTCAAAAGTCAAGATGCCCTTAGGAGGGAGGCAAAAATGCCCTTAGAAGGGAGGCAAAGCTTTTTAAGAGCTTAATGAGGGGCCGGCCCGGTGGCACAGCAGTTAAGTGCACACGTTACACTATGGCGGCCCGGGGTTCACTGGTTCGGATCCTGGGTGCGGACATGGCGCTGCTTGGCAAGCCATGCTGTGGTAGACATCCCACATATAAAGTAGAGGAAGATGGGCATGGATGTTAGCTCAGGGCCAGTCTTCCTCACCAAAAAGAGGAGGATTGGCAGCAGGGCTAATCTTCCTCAAAAAAAAAAAAAGCTCTACGAAGCCTAAAGAAATGTCGTTCTTTATCATCACTATATCCTCAGTACCTGAGACAGTGTCTTCTATAACTAACATTAAATACGTGCTGACGTAATGACTGTTATACTACTGTTTGTCAGCAGCAGCAACAAATATCTTTTAGCACAAATGTTTTCATATCTAATCAATGTTATTTCCTAACTATGGCATGACTGTAGAGTGGGAAAACAAAGGGGCAAGTGCCTGGCAGGCTATGACAAGAGAACAATTCATACTGAGCAGAAGTACTACAGGAATCATGGAGCTTAGGAAACTAATTTTTTCAAAATTTCCCAGTTGATTCTGACGTGTAATCAAATTTTAAAACCACAAAACCACTGGACTGGATAAACTTAAAGTTCTCTCTTCCAGCTCTAAGCAGCCAAAATTCTGTAACTTTATCTTAGGTAATGATTTTCACATGTTCTATAACAGACGAGACTTAGTTTTAAACATATTACATGATTTTATTAGAGGAAGAGTGAACTTACAGAACTACTATGTTTAGGGTCCAAATGAAACCAGAAACGTCTGGCTAGTATCTACTGTTTGTTGAGTTGGATTTTGTTTTAACTTATTTAACATAAGCATAGTTGTTCAGTGACGTGATCGTAACTGCTCAATAAACATTTACTGAATAGGAAAAAAAATAACCCTGGACTTTATCCTAAAGGAAATGAGAATCTACCAAAAACATTTAAAGATGGATGATGATCAAATTTTCACCTGTAAAAGAAATACTGGCTATCATATAAACAACAGTACAGAAGAGGCCTAGATTAGATGGCACAAAAGCCAGTAAGAAGGCTACTACAGAAACCCAGGCAGGCATCTGCGGTGCCTTCATCTCTGGGGGAAGCCAAGAGAAGGCAGATAACCATTTACTGAAATGCTAAATTAAAACAACAAAACAACAAAACTTAAGAGCAAATAGAAAACAATCGGATACTTATTTTAAGAAATACAAAACTATTACAGATAGTGGGAAAAAGGAGTGGTAGGAAGAGCCAGGAACAACTATTTGGAGAATTAAAGAACAGAAAAGAAGGTGGTGGAGAGAGAACAATAAAGATAGGCAGGCATAAAAAGAAACCTAGAAAGAGGAAAAGGGAAGAAGAAGGGAGCTTCTGGGATATATTTAAGCAGCTTGTCATGTCACGTTAGGGATTAGACCAGTTAATATGAGAATAAATTATCAACTATTAAGACGGCACTTAGCTCAGGTGTCAAGTGTTTAAAATCTTGTCAGTAACAGAATTAGTCTTTCTGACTCCCCATATCTATCAGCATACATGAATTTTTCTCATTTCTTCCAAAGAATATATACTTCTAATCTTCTGATGTATAGTAATAATCTTAAATGGCCAACATCTGTCCTAATTCTTCTTTCCATCAAACAAAATCTTTTTTTTTTTTTTTGAGGAAGATTAGCCCTGAGCAAACTGCTGCCACTCCTCCTCTTTTTGCTGAGGAAGACTGGCCCTGAGCGAACATCTGTGCCCATCTTCCTTTACTTTATACATGGGACGCCTACCACAGCATGGCTTGTCAAGCGGTGCCATGTCCGCACCCGGGATCTAAACAGGCAAACCCCAGGCCGCCAAAGCGGAACATGCACACTTAACGGCTGCGCTGCTGCGCCACTGCGCCGGCCCCAATCAAACAAAATCTTAATATGTGACTTTATGCCATATCTACATCACAAGAACTACCAACTATGTTTCTCGTTTTGCCAGAAGAATCATGTACTTGCTACTGGCAAAATTTAACAACCCTAATTACTTCCAACAATGCTACTTATATAGGTAAAACTTACTTTTAATAAGTTTTTTTTTTTTTTAAGGAAATTCTCTTGGAAAAGGGAGATTTTTGTTTCTAATATGTTGAGTTCCAATGGTCTCTAAATCCTAACTGGTAACTTAATTAGTAACAGGTATCAGTGGGAAATATAAATGAACCTCAAGAATAAAAAAAACATACCCCAACTATACAAAACCCGTTTTTACCTTGCCTCATTAGCATTAATTGGTGTTCGTGCCTAGCTGCTTCCATTTCTGCCTCCAGTTTCTCTTTGGCTTCTCTGATGTTTCTATCAACCTGCTCACGCTGCTGCTTTTCCATTTCGTCAAGAGCCTTCCATCGAGATGCATACTCAAATTCAAATGTCCCAGGTTGAGCAAAACGTGGCGGCTGTTCTCTTTCCCTAAGTTTACATTTGAAAACATGCAGAAACTTATGTTTAAAAGGTAAAATAAGGATAACAAGAACTACCATTTACTGAGCACTTACAATGTCCATGGCACTGTACTGAATCACTGCACTCCAATGTCCAGGCAAGTACTCCAATTACCTCATGGCAACACTGTAATGCAGGTTTTAACAAGCCTCAGTTTGAGAAAGTGCCGTAGGATGCCCAAATAATAAGTAATGGAACCAGGATTCAAACCTAGGCAACCTGCACTCCCCTAATTATCACCTCTAATGAAGCCCTTTCTGATTTTCAATCAACCAACAATTTCACTTAAGGCAGTCTGCAACATAGGAATCAAATATGTCCTAAGTTAACCATCCAGAATCAGATTTTTTTTCTCTAAAAGTAATTAACTTTTAGGGATAGTAGTAAAAGCAGACGGAGTTTATTGAGTGTTATGTGCCAAGTTAAGTAGCTAGGCCAAAAAATAAAGGTCTAACTTACTACAACTGTAGTTATTTAATACTTTTTTTCCCTTGCTAAACTGTAAACTCAATGAGGACATAAAATTTGTCTGTTAATTGCTGTACCTCAAGTACCTAGCACACTATCTGGTACATTGTACATATTTGCTATTAATTTCTTGAATGAACGAATAAATGATAAGCAAACGACCAAGAAATTTTTTAAAAACTAAAGACCTATGAATGCACCTGAAATTCAAAGAAATTCTTCAATTATTCTTACCTATCATAACTTGTATTAAAAACTATTGATAAGAACACAATCCCCACCCCACCCATAAAAGTATAGATGCTTTGCATCACACTTTTATTTTGGGAGGGTAGGATAAAGTTGGGAGACAGGGAGGTTGTCACAGAGGGAAAGGATGTAATAACAAGAAACAGCTTCAAAGATCTTCAAAGGTATATAAGGAAAATCAAAGTTAACCATGATCTAGGAGTTCTATACCTAAAAAATTGACTTGGATTTTTTTCTTCTTAAAGTACTGACTGAAAAAGGGAAAGGAATAGAGGGATCTACCACTCACTAACTTTTCTGAAAGAATTGTTTATTAGTCAGTAGTTTTGTTTGTTGTTTTTGTTTTGTTTTCTTTTTTTGGTGAGGAGGATTGGCCCTGAGCTAATGTCTGTTGCCAATCTGTCTCTTTTCACTTGAGGAAGATTGACCCTGAGCTAACATCTGTGCCAATCTTCCTCTATTTTGTATGTGGGACACCACCACAGCACAGCTTGACAAGCGGTATGTGCATATCTGCACCCAGGATCTGAACCTGTGAAGCCCAGGCCACGAAAGCAGAGCATGCAAATTTAACCACCATGCCACTGGGCTAGCCCCTTAGTCTGTAAGTAATTCCTAAGTCAGACGTTGACTAAAATCATAAACATAAAAAATTCTTCACTTTCTCCCAAAGGAAACACTATTGAAACAAAATGAATTTGAATCATGGTTCACATACTTTTGGAACATTCCCTTCTGAGTATAACTCTTTAGCAGTAAAACTGGGAATATAACAAGATCTTCTAAGGTTTTCTGGGATAACGAATTCATTAGATAAACAAATATCACCTATAGTACATGTCCTACCAAAGTGAGCAATACAAATTCCATTTCTCATAACACTCCAATAATTCCAGTTCTTTAATTCCTGAATCCAATAGTATACTCTATTTCAAATTCGTAATGAAAAGCTTTAACTAGAAAAAAAGTCAAGTAAATAGGATATCACAATAAGTCTTTGAAAAATAGCTTCATAAGAGAAATTAAAATGGTTATGAGTTACAACCAATTACCACTGATCCTTCTCTGAAATAGTTTCACCCCTTGCTGTCAAGACACGCTGGTTGCCCCCCTACTCCAATGACTGCTCCCACTCAGTCTTTGCTGATTCCTTTTGATCTCCTCAACCTCTACATATTGGAGTATTCCAAGGTCAGTCTTTTGACATAGTTTTCTATCACGTGATAACTCTAGCCCAGACAGCTCACAGAAATTGCAGATGGAAATCCAACTACTTACTTAACATCTCCACTTGGATGTTCAAAAGCCATCTCAAACTTAACATGTCCAAAACAGGGTTTGTGATCTTCCCCCCCCAAAATCTGCTCCTCCTACAGGATTCTCCAAATTAGTCATTAGCAATTTCCATACTTCCAGTTACTCAGGCCCAAAACCTTGTAATCATGCTTTTAACTCTTTCTCCCACATCTCCACATCCATCAGCAAAATCCAAAGTCTATTTTCAAACTATATCTACAATCTGACCACTTCTCACCATCACCACCGTGACTACTCCATGTCAGTAGCCTCCTAAACTTATCTCCCCAACTCTACCCTTGGCTCTTAAGAATCTACTCTTAAAACAGCAGTCAGAAAGTTCCTGTTAAGATTAAGTCACTACTCTGCTCCTTCCTTTCTCATAAAACACAAAAGCAAAAGTCAGCTCAGTAGCCTTCAAGGCCCAACAGTTCGCATTCTCCCCAATATGTCCTACCTCTACTTCATCACTACTATTTCCCCCTTACTCACTATGCTTCATCCAAATCAGCCTTTTTACTGTTCCTGGGACATGCCAGAGTCTGCCCTGAGGCTCTTTATAGCTACTATTCCCTCTGCCGAGATCACTATTCTCTACCCCACCCCATTTCTGATAGCTACAAGGCTAGCTTCCACCCCCTCCTCAAGATGTTAATCAACATCACCCTGTCAGGTAGGCTTCCCTAACCACCTGTATAAAAGAGCCACAATCCTCTGCTCCACAGCACCCACTTTTCCCTGTCTTCGTTCCACTTCTTTTATTGTTTACTCCCCTTAACACCCCCACACAACATGAATTTCTGGTCTACTCTGTTCACTGATACATCTCCAACATCAGGCATATAGCAAGGACTCATAGTTAAATCAACTACAAGGAAAAACATTTAAATGCACTAAAATCAAAGAATGCTAATTAAAACAATGTGCATAAAATATCGTTTTGAACATAATCTATCAAATCTTAAAATCATAACATCCATTTTTTTGTCAGGATGAAGAAAAATATTTATATACATACACCAATGAGTGTAAATGGGTGTAAGGTTCCTGGGGAACCATGTGCCAAGATTAATCAACTTTAAAGATGCATATTCTTTCATCTAAGGCTTTATACCTCACATTAGTGGTTTTTTAAACTACTACTTCTCACCGCTTAATACATATTTCATAATCTTTGGTTCATTATTTATTATATATTATGTATCTCCACCACCAGAAATGAAAGCATCAAGAGGGCAGAAACAGTTCAAAGCTGCACTAGTAGCTCCTAGAACAGTGCCTGGCACTCCAATATTTGTTAAATGCACAGATGCAAATGTGTTACAGTTTTATTTCTTGTAATAAACAAGTGATTGGTTAAAAATAACACAAGGTGGGGGCTGGCCCTGTGGCCGAGTGGTTAAGTTCACATGCTCTGCTGCTGGCGGCCCAGAGTTTCACTGGTTCAAATCCTGGGCGCGGACATGGCACTGCTCATCAAGCCATGCTGAGGCAGCATCCCACATGCCACAACTAGAAGGATCCACAACTAAAAATATACACATATGTACCGGGGGGGGTCTTTGGGAGAAAAAGGAAAAAATAAATAAATAAAATCTTTAAAAATAAATAAATAAATAACACAATGTTATTCATATGGGCAACTTACATAAAAATACCTATATGATACTAAGTGAAAAACAACTGGCAAAAGAATAATACAAACATTTTGCAAATAGGTTATTTTTCTTTTTCATCTCTAAAAAGTTCTTCCCCTGTGCTAAGTCATTTAACTCGGACCTCCCCTACTCTACCCCCTAAAAAAGTCTCCTTTTAACTTACAATACACCTTAAGCATAGTAATTACAGAAATATTTTCACAATACCTATATTTCATTGTTTCTCTAGCATAAATATTACCGACAGTCTCCTCCTACCTATCCACCCCTGCCCCAATTATAAAAGTAGAGACTTTTCTTAGTAAAGTTAATGTTTTACCGATATACAAAAGAAAACTAGCATTCCATGTAGACCAGGCCAGTCCATTAACCAGATTATATGACTAAACACAACACCTTCTAATCCAACAATACTGGATAACAAATGTGATGTAAGAAATATCCTTGATAGCACATATTTAAAATATCTTTATTAATAAAATCTTACTTATGATATTGTTGAGTTTTCTGCATTAGCTTCTCTGGCAAGCCATCTTCATCGTCAAACTGCTCCATAGGCTCCACAATGACTGGACGCGGGGTCCTAGATAGACAAAAAGTATTAACAAAAATACAGTGTCTGGAATTAACATCCTTCTAGAAATATTTTATAACAATTCCAAGATATATACTTGGATCTCTTGAGAAAAATGTCTCAGAAGTTATCATATATAGTCATAAAAAGTCAATAAACATGTGCAGCACCAGACACAGGTGAACATCAAAGATGAATGCCTGTTTTTAGAGCAGAGTCTACTGAAGATGACAGAAACGTAAATCAACAAGAATGAACCTGTGTAACCACTGTAGCTAACTCTTACAAAGTATGATGGAAAGGAATAACTTATGTTTTATCCATGTGGTGTCATCAATCTCATGTCCCACCGTCTCAAACTCCCATCTCTGCCTACCTCCCAGCTTCCCTCTGTGTCTTGTTCAGTCTGGCTCAGAAAAATATTTCTAAAACATAAAGACAGACCTCAAGGATATCAGCCAAGAAAAAGGGAAGGAGGGGGAGCCAGAGGACACAACACATTCAAGGAGGAAGTTGGAGGGAAGAGGGAAACAATAGTAGATAATGACTTGGAAACCCTCCTTCTTTACTATTTTCCTAAGTAAAACAGGAAGAAGGGAAAGCTCATTGAGGAAAGACAAAAAAGGGAAATAAGCGGAGTGGATGATATATTGATAATAAAATTTTCCTTGCTATCACTCTCTCACCATGCAAACAATAGTGAAATCTATTGATACCACCTTCTGAACAGAGATGCTTCAGAGAAAAACAAATCACTGTTAAATTTTGAGGTGGTAACAGAAGAGCTAGAGAGGTGAAGGGGCTTTCTGGATTCCAAAAGCGTCCCTCTGCAAATAAACAAAGACCCAGAGATTAACAAAGACTTTAAGTCCTAAACTATAGGAAAAAGAAAGATATAAAATGTTTATTTAAAAATGATTCCTCAGCTAGTAGACATTTGGGATAGAAAAAGAACTGGACGCAAGTGTACAATATCTTGAGGTGATGAAGACAATTATAGAGATCTCAGATAAAATGCAGGAACCCCAAGTAAAGAGACTTACAGGCCTCAATTTCCAGGGTGAGACCTCATATCCAACATGTAAAAAGAGAAACGTAATAAAGAATGAGTAAATACAATCTCAGAAAGTACATGCAATCCAATGAGATATGAGAAAGCAGCTGAGAGCTGGTGAGACCACTCAACCCACGAGAGGATGTAGTACTTCTAAGAAGACCCAAAGGGGCCCAGGGACAAAATGAGTAAGATGCACCATATGGACCACTTACCCACTGCAGGCCACAGCAGGGCCACAAACACTGGAATAATAACACAGCCAGATATGAACTACACCTGAGCAGAGGCAAAGACAGACAGAAACTCAAACCCGCCCCTTCAATACCACAAGGCCACCACCACCTCCAAGAGAAAAACCAGAAAAGGAAACTCAAGAAGGAAAATGTACTAAGCAGATCATTTGTCACTCAGAATATGACAGAATTACTTGGAAGTGACGACTAATTTTATGAAGTCAAGGAAATGGTGAACAACATTAGAGAATATAATGACATGACTACTATACTCTAAAATAACGTCAAGTGTTGTAACTATCAATTTTCAATTTTCAACATATCACTTTGGACGACTAGACACTCTTTTCCATTGGAGGGCAAGTACAGCCCTCTGGGAGAGAACTTGACCAATACAAATGTTATATATTTCTACCTTGTTCCTATAATTGCATTTTTTTTTTCTTGCTCAGGAAGAGTCACCCTGAGCTAACATCTGTTGCCAATCTTCCTCTATTTTGTACTTGAGTTGCTGCCACAGCATGGCCACCAACAAGTGGTACAGGTCCGTGCCTGGGAACCAAACCTAGTCTGCCAACGGGGAATGCACCAAACTTAACCACTAGACCACAGGGCGGGCCCCCTTTCAATTCTACTTCCAAAGATATACATGAATAAGTGAACAAAGGTCACTCACAATCACATTCATCATATCATATAATACAAAAAGACCATGTGTGGTGTACAAGTGATGTCCTTAAGGGACTGTGACTTATTGTATTGGGATATATGCTAAATGTGAACATTGATGGTTTCATTGTATACACCACTCCCTGTGGAAGCTGCCTTTGTCCATTTTCTTATCCACCTTGTTTATTTCACTTTGATTTTTGTGTGTTAACAAAAGTCTTAAAAACCTAACACATTCTGTTTATAGGTGTAATTGCTAAACTTATTCTTTTTACAAATCTAGGTAAATTACACAGAAAAAAAGATTAAAAAGGAAACAAAATCTGGAGTTATCTGTGAGGTTTTTTTCCTCCCCACTCTGCCCTAAATTAATCATTAGTTTGGTTGTAAAATTGATAAATGTTCCACTGTGGAAAAGTTTAAACAATATAATAAGTTTCATAGAAGTCAGTCAGTCCTGTGAAATCCTATCATTTGGAGAGTATCTCTGACCATATTTCATGAGTATCTCTTCAGATTTTCCTTTCCACTAATTTTACATAGAAAGAATCTTTCTTCAGACATCTTGTATCACCCAATATAAAATGGCATCATTTCAGATCTATGCATGTACCATAATTTTTTAACCATACCAATTAGTGTACATTTAAGGTTTCCATGTTTTCTGTAAAAATACATAATGACTAACATATTTGTGACTGATCCTCCCTCTGCTGTTCAAATATCTCTTTAGGTAGAAATGTGAGAACAAGGTAGAATATACAGTATTAAAAACATGGTGACTTAGGGGCTGGGCCCATGGCTGAGTGGTTAAGTTCGCGTGCTCCACTTCAGCGGCCCAGGGTTTCACCAGTTCCAATCCTGGGCGCAGCCCTAGCACCACTCATCAAGCCATGCTCAGGTAGCCGCCCACATAGCATAACCAGAAGGACCTACAACTAGAATATACAACCATGTACTGGAGAGCTTTGGGGAGAAGAAGGAAAAAAAAGAAAGAAAAATAAAGATAAATAAGGAAAAACGACGACTCAAAACAAAATGTGACATTTTGTGCATGCAATTAAAAAAAATGAAGGCTTATGTAATTATGCCAATTTATTTAAATACGAAACCATCTTTGCAGACATCATTTTGCAGAGCTAAAAGTTTAGTCTATTTTAACATAGTTGAGAATTTAAGAATATTGATAAAGATAAAATAATTCCTAGGATGATTAAATAAGATGTTTTATGATAAAGGAAAAATAAAATCACTAGGACCTGATAATGTTATCCCAGATTTATAAAATGATCCAATGGATCCATATAGTAATTTTCAGGGGAAAAAATGAGTTTATTCTATTTTTTAAATTTTCTTTTTGTTCTTTTGAAGACCTCTAAGAAATAAGCAATAAAATATCAATCCTTACAAATAATTAGGATTGCTCAAAAAACAAGTGAAAAACTAAAATTGGACCCAGCTGACACTGACGGGACCCCAAGAGTTAAGGGTGATTCTCTGGAAAGATAACTGGCAATTTATGCTTCCACCCACAGCAGATATGTCTAGATAACACTTTTGTTTCCAATATATAAGCAAAAGAAATATTACAATGTTGTTTGTATTAAAGAAATATTTCTTCAGCATCTAAAAGTAACCCCATTTAATAAAAAGATATGTGATAAAGCAAATAAAATGTAAGAAAAAGCAATCTCTTTCAAATATGAGTATAAAACAGGAAAAGTATAAAAAATCACTAATGGAACAATCACTTGTGTGCAGAAAAGAGTTGACAGGGGCCAGCCCTGTGGCTGAGTGGTTAAGTTCACGCGCTCCGCTTCACCGGCCTAGGGTTTCGCTGGTTAGGATCCTGGACTCGGACATGGCACCACTCATTAAGCCATGCTGAGGTGGCATCTCACATGCCACAACAAGAAGGACCCACAACTGAAAATATACAACTATGTACAGGGGGCTTTGAGAGAAAAAGGAAAAATAAAATCTTAAAAGAAAAAGAAAAGAAGAGTTGACAAAGCAGGCCTGAAACTGCTATCACACACCATAGGATAAGGCTGGTTTTGTGTGCCAAAACTGTTTGCATCCTTTGGTTTATGTTAAACATAAACTTTCTGAGTTTGTTTCCTGCTGGGAGTCTGAAATTTTGCTATTTACCAGATGAGGGAACTTACAAAACTGATACTCCATCCTTCACCCCGCAACACACACACACAACATACACTCCTAGGGTCAGCTGAACTTCCCCAGGTAGTTAATACTTCATTCGTATGTCTCCATTAGTTGCTGGATGAATTAAGCAAGTCCTGTGTGACTCAACTGGGCAAGGACTGTTGGAAGCTTGTACCTAGTTTCCTCCAGACTTCACCTCATGTACACTTTTCCTTCGCTGATTTTGTTCTGTATTCTTTTGCAGTAATAAATCTTAGTCATAAGACTATATGCTGAGGCCTGAGTCCTTTCAGTGAACCACCAAACCCAGGGGTGGTCCTGGAGATCCCCAAGACACACCTGTAAGCACACTAATCAAATATAACTTCTGCTGACATATTCACATTTTTACTTTGTCTTTTTTTTATAATCAGTTTGTTAACACAAATTTGGATCACAGCAAACATCTAGTTTTGTGTCTTTTTTTACATGCTAAATTAATATTTTACTTATAGAAAAATAAGTTTTAGGGCAGCTGTTAAAACAGAATATGTGCATAGCCAAATGCTCTTCCATAAACAAACGTGGAGTTTGTCATTTGTTTAGTTTTGTTTGTATTTATATCGAGATACAATTTACATGCCATGAAATTCACCCTTCTAAAGTGTACAGTTCAGTGATTTTTAGTATGTGCAATCATCATCACAATCTAATCCCAGAATATTTTCATCACCCCAAATAGAAACCCCAAACTCATTAGCCGTCAACGCCCCATATCCTTGCCCCTGAGCCTCTGGCAACTAGTCTAGTTTCTTTCTCTATGCTATATATCCCCTTAAAAAAGAATGCTTTTCAAGAGTACTGCATTTTCCAAAGTCATAAAATATTCTTTGCAAAATAACTAC